TCCTATGAAATATGAACTTTCCTTTCTACCCAGGAGAACTTGTACAATCTTTTCTCCGATGCCTGAAGGAGGGTGTTTGTGCCTGAAAGCTTGCAATTAAAGATTTTGGTCTGATAAAGGTTGTCACCTCTTCCACAAGTCCTAATTGCTTTGTTCTGTCCAAGAAAGCACGTCCAAGAACAAATCTGTGCAGACTGTTTCCAGCAAAACTCAGCTTCTCAAAGCTCCTCCCATTCCCTGCAAACTCCAGCCCAGCTCTGGTTGCTCCAGTGAGTCCCGGATGCAGACAAGCTGTGGTTTTGTTTCAGGGCAAGTGTTTTACTCGTGTCTTGCTCAGAATGCATCCCACGTGTGCAGGGAAGGGCTAGCAGGTCCATGCAGTCGTACCTTGTGGTGCAGTGGCCCCAGTCCTGACCTGGCCTGTGCTGCTTTTTCACCAGAGGAGCTCTGTTGTGGCTCCTGAATCGCACCGGCAGAAGCGAGAGCAAGAATCGGGCTTAACAACTGTGAAATACTAGAAGAGCTGGCACCGTGAGAGGCAGGTATTCTGCTCCCTGTTACATGGGCTTGACACTGTTTGGAGAATTCACCCAGAGGTTAGGTGACAGCATTTGAACTTCAGCAAAACCACATTGGATGAATCCGTACTGTCACTTCAAACCAGAGTCCTTGTACTTCACCCCTAATGAGGGGACCAGATAGTACCTTGAAGGGCTTTATACTAGATATTTATATGAGCACAGACATACAAGTTGTCTGTTTTACATATTACTGCCCTGATTTTCCAGTGCACGCAATGAATAATTTACAGAAAACGTGTGTAAGTATCTCTTTATTATTCATTATAATGAACTGAGACAGGAGTAATAGTCCACTAGACTGGAATCCCCTAGGGCTCAACTTAACTAGGCTGCGCTTAGCTCTCCCACAGCTCATTTGAATCAAAGGAAAGGTTCAGCTCCCTGATGCTGGGATGCAGCACGCGGCCACGGTGTGGTGGGAGAAAAGGGGGGTGCCTTGGATTCCAGCCCACTTTTAGTGTCTGAGATGGGCTTCCACCGAGTTTGCAGTCCCAATGAGGTCTGGGGCTGGCTCTTCCAGGCTGATCCTGCAATGTGCCAAGGGGCTCTTGAGAAGTGCCGAGTGCTCTTCATGCCTGTTGACATCAGGGAGAGTCACGGCAGCTCTGCAGCCTGCGGGAGCTTAGCTTGCGGATTAAGGGACCGGAGTAGCCCAGGCTGAACGCAGCGGGGCCGGCAGAGCTGCACTGGTGGAGATCTGTAAGGCTCATGGTTGCCCCTACAGGTCAAGTGCATTGGTGGACTGATATGGGGAACCCTGCCTGTTTGGTATCAAGTGCACGGTCAGAGCAGTGTCAAGGGAACACCTGTTTCCATTTGATTTTTAAATGCACTTGGAATATTTTGATTCAGGACTTTCTGCCTTTGGAAAGGGAGGGTGAAAGCATCCTCTTTGCTGTGGTCGGCCACCCCTCAATAATAGCATAGTGGCTCCTTCTGGAATGGGGGGACTGCTGCTTTTGCCACCATTCAGGGGCTTCAGGAGGAGAAGTTTGTGTTGTTGGAGAAACAGCAATGTGTTTAAAATATGGCAGCCTCGTGGGGTGCAGGTAATAACATGCCAAGCCCAAAGGACCATCTGTCTTCCTAGGAGTCCCTGCTTGACATGGCTAGTGGAGACATACAGCCACTTCAGGGGGGAAATTATTTGTTTAAGGGAGAATATATCTGTCATTTCCCTGAATCGAGTGCCCATGGGGGCAGTGAAGCATGCTTAATAGACTCCCACCCCACACCCCCAATAATACTGCTGATGGAGTCGACACTCTGCAGACACGGCATGGGAGGCATATAACATTTCTGAAGCTTCAGTGCAAGAGGCACGGCTCTGCCCTCCCGCCCCATCTGGCAGCAGAGGCGAGCCGGAGGAAATGTCTGGGAAGGTGCCACTGTGGACATGCGAGCTAGCATAGCGAGGCATGGCTGAAGCATTGCAGCAGCGAGACGTGCAGATACTGCCCGGTGCCTATGCTGCAAATTCCTCCTACTTCACGTACGCATGCACTGCAAACCCAGAGAGCAACAAGAGGCATGCAGGGCATGTCTTATCCAGTGTGTGAAAGCAGTAGCAAACCCCGGAGCACTGCATTTCCTGGGGAATAGCGGCCACTGCTTACACTACCAGCATGGCTTTTGGGCAAAGGGTCATGCAGACTTAGGTTAATATCTGCCACAGCCTCTGATGGGCGATGCAGCCCGGTGGCAAGGGGCTGAATATGATTATTAGTTAATATATTTATTCCCCAAGGAAGGATAGTGCTATGAGCTATCTTGGGAGAATCAGGTTCAACTCTGAGGCAAAGCTGAACGTGGCCTTGAACAAGTCGGCGCTCCTCTGCGTGCCTCAGTTCTCCGTCTGTAAGGCGAGGATTCTCACACTCCCATTCTTGCATCCTTTGGCTCTCTTGTCTGTAAAGTCTTTAGAGTAGGGAGTGTTTCTTAACATTCATGTGTACAGTGCCTTGATCTCAGCTCTGTCCTGTAGGCACTACTGCAGTGTGCACGCAATCATTACTATCATCATGTCACTTCTCTTGTGTGTACCTCGATTTCCCCAACTGTAGAACAGGTATTACACGGACCTACCTTGTAGAGAGACTTGCAAGGGTTGGATTTTTTAACCTAGGGAAAGCCCTTTAAAATCCTTAAAAAAGGATAATGTTGTAGAAGGACAAAGCATTAGTGCTGCTGCTTGCAGTACCCAGGTAATGATCTGCAGTTTTGCTTCATCACAGCAAAGCGTTCTGCCTGCTCTGTCTATGGAGGTCTTCAGGAAGAAAGAGGATACTCCGGAGAAACACTGGGCTCTTAATTTCACCAAATGCACGACAGTTTTTCTGTGGGTGCTGATGAGCTAGACAGGCCTGGGAGTAAATGCATCAAGATAATCTGTCAAATGGAATTAAAAAGGCATGTGCTCCAGGAACATTTTAATTCCATTTTTTTTTCTCCCTCCGTTCTTCGCCAAGTGTAACTAACCGCTCTGAACTGTCACTCTGAAGCTTTCCAATATCTCGTGGCAGGAACAGGCAGGGCAGGAGCCAGACAGGAAATAAATAATTGAAATGACTGTGTTGTGTTTTCAAGGCACTTGTAGGATGTACAGCGGCTTTGCCAAATACCCCCTTCTTCTTCTGCCCCTCCTTGACCCGTTCTTGTGCTGAGGCTGTTCCCCCGCCTTGGAGCAGCTGTATGTATATCACACCAGGGATGGCTGGAGGGCCATGCTGACAAGCTGAACTGTCATCAAATTTTACAGCTTCATCTAAAATGTCCTATGTGTCGCAAGGGCAATGGAGTGGGTCATGGGGGGGGCAAGCGGAGCTGCACGAGGTGACGTATGGAGAGCCTTTGTGGGCTTTCAAAGGACATACTTAACGTGGCTCCCCACAAAAGGTGACACTTTCTTTCAGGAGAACACCTGAAATTTTCTCCAAAGCTTCACAGCATGGTGTGGCATTTCCAAGACCATCCTAGTGTGTTAAAATAAGTCTAAGACATGATAGAACAGGGCTAGAAAGGGGCCTTGCATAATATCCTCCCCCACTCTTTTAAGGGTGGGGGAGGGTATTATGCAAGGTATATCATTATTATTATTATTATTATAATAATACAGGGTATTTCTGATGTGAAGCTAGGAACTGAAAATGAGAGGCTGATTAAATCCTGTGGAATGGTACTATATCTAGCCAGAGTACCACTGTTCATGGACATTGTCCTCTTCTGGGATCAAGGTTTGTGGTTCATGAGTATTTATAATAATGATAACAACTGCAGTAATAATATTAGAGTTATATATTACATGCAAACTCGTTGTTCCGAGTCCCTGTTCTCTGCACCTCTGTTGCACCGTCCAGGATGTTTTCCCTACAGCAGAACAAGCTGCCAGCACCAAGCAGTGAGCCAGGTGCACCCTTCAGAGACACTGCTGGCAGCTCTTTGTGTTCATTGTACTGGCCCGTGTGTCTGACGCTCTGTCCCTCTCTCTCTAGGTGTACTGTGGATGACAGGGTCACGCGAGTAGCTTGGTTGAACCGCAGCACCATCCTGTATGCTGGAAATGACAAGTGGTCTATAGACAACCGAGTGGTCATCCTCTCCAACACCAAAACCCAGTACAGCATCAAGATCCATAATGTGGACGTGTACGATGAGGGCCCCTACACCTGCTCTGTGCAGACAGACAATCATCCAAAGACATCGCGGGTACATCTCATTGTGCAAGGTAAGGTTGAGCTCTGCCTGATGAGAAGAAAACTTTTATGCTGAAGGGACCCAGGGCTTCCAGCGGTTACAGCTTCTGGTAGGCGCTGGTGATGCAGAACAGGGGAATATTCAGACCAATGGGTCCTGCTTGTTATCTGAGACCTATAGGTGTAGAAGGGGCTACATATCTCCCCAAGCCTCTTGCACAGATGCAGGATTGAGTCTTGTTTGGGGATTGAAATATGGACCTCTGGCTGCCATCCCAGCCTTCTGTAGTTGGACATGGGCCTACGCTCTCTGATGATGACTCCATCTAAAATTCTCTTCCCTTTTGGGGTGGTTTGACTATGGGCCAACTGGTGACTCAGCTAATTAGACATTTGCATCAGAACACCTTACTAGGGTTCTTGCTGCTTCTAGTTATGAATTGGACCCATGGTTAGTGCTTGTTAGCTGGGCGCGCTGCTGGCAAAGGAAAGAACCCAGGGTTCTGAAATGTTGCTGGCTCCCAACTTAGCTAGGGACTGATCTGATCTCGGCTACTTGTTCCTATGTCTTTCCTTTAGGAGAAAGCAAGAAAGAGCACATTTTGAAGGTGTCATAGGTATTAGAAGTGCCAGCAGGTAGTGTCAGTTCTGGCTTTCCTGTCTGCTAGTGGGGCTCAGTTCCAGAGGAACAGAGGATTCTTAGCATGGGAAGTAAAGCCTCCGTGGCACCTTAGTGGCCTTGACAGCAGAGTTATCTTCTTCGGGAAATGCAGTGCTGAAATAAAAGAACTGTCAGGTACTGTAGAGGAACAGACTTGAACAGAACAAGGCTATCAGTTTCTGGGAAAGACAGATTGCGTAAGTATGTCAAAGTCAATATGGGCCATAAAGGGTTTTTGGCACAGAGCTTCAGTGGATAATGCTGTTAGAGAAATGCCTTGGCACGTAACAGAAGCTGTTGGGTTGAAAAGTGGGAGTCCCTGAGTCTCTTCAGACAGAAGGATTGCAGAGCTTCCAGATCTGAGGACAGACCAGGCGGGCTTGAGTAAGCCTCTCTTTGAGGGAGCTCCATTCGGTTGGGACGTTTGATCCCAATCGGAAGAGTCTGAATGTTCGTGATGGGGAACCCGATGGATAACGTGAATCACACACTAAGCTGTAGGGCTGCGCAAAGCTTTGGTCCCTAATTCGATTCGGCGGAGATTCGGTGGGTGAATCCCTCTAATCCATTAAAGGAGGACCCTTTAATATGTCCGAATTGAATTGGACCCCTCCGAATTGATTCGGACATAGGCACAGCTTTAAATGTTTTTTCTACA